TAGAATTGAACACCTTTGCCACTAAAAGTCAACAAATCGCTGAATCCTCCGAAAAGGCAAAGTCAAAGCTCACCTTCCGAGATGTCGTTCCTCCAATCTACCATGAATTCGAACCCGTCTTCACCAAAGAATCATTTGACAAACTTCCCCCGAAACGTCCTTGGGACCATGCAATTGAGCTAATACCCGAGGCTAATGGTCTTGACTGCAAAACGTACCCTCTTAGCCGAGACGAACAACACCATCTAGACGAATTCCTTAACGAAAATCTAACAAGTGGACGGATTCGAGTATCCAAATCACCTTACGCATCACCATTCTTCTTTATCAAAAAGAAAGATGGCTCACTACGCCCTGTCCAAGACTATCGCAAGCTGAATGAACTTACCATAAAGAATCGCTACACCCTCCCCCTCATATCCGAACTCATCGATAAACTCAAAGGTGCCAATTACTTCACGAAACTAGACGTACGATGGGGATACAACAACGTCCGAATCCAAGAAGGAGACGAACACAAGGCCGCTTTCAGGACCAATCGCGGCCTGTTTGAACCCCTTGTCATGTTTTTCGGACTTACCAACTCGCCAGCGACCTTCCAGACCATGATGGACCACCTCCTAAGAGAACTGATCACGGAAGGAAAAGTTATTGTATATTTAGACGATATTATGATCTTCACGGAAACACTCGAAGAACATCGTCAAATAGTCACCAAAGTCCTCCGTATCCTGCAACAAAATCAGTTGTATCTTAAACCAGAGAAGTGCGAATTCGAGAAACAGGAAGTCGAGTATTTAGGCATGATCATCTCCAAAGACACTATCCGTATGGATCCGTTAAAAGTCGCAGCGGTCGCTGACTGGCCCGCACCAAAGAACAAAAGAGAACTCCAATCATTCTTAGGGTTCTCCAATTTCTATCGACGATTTGTCAAAGACTACGGACGAATTGCGAAACCACTCACTGTACTCACCGGAAAAGTTGACTGGACCTGGAAAGACGAACAAGAGACGTCCTTTGAAACGTTGAAGAAAACGCTTACTACCGCCCCCACCCTTGCTATACCAAATGACGACGACCCATTCAAACTAGAAACCGATGCCTCTGACTTCGCTGTAGGAGCCGTCCTATCCCAGAAACAAAACGACAAATTCAGACCCATAGCATTCCTCTCGAAAGCCCTTACCCCTGCAGAACAAAACTACGAAATTTACGACAAAGAGATGCTCGCAGTTATGACGGCGTTAGATGAATGGCGACATCACCTTGTAGGATCAAAGCACCCCTTCACCATCTTCACAGATCACCAAAACCTCCTCTACTTCCGTCAACCTCAGAAATACAATCGACGCCAAGCTCGATGGTCATCCCAGCTTGCAGATTATAATTTTAAAATGGAACATGTCAAAGGGAATCAAAATACGAAGGCCGACCTGTTAAGCAGACGAATTGATCATCCTAAAGGCACAAACGATAATGAGGATCAGATACTTCTCCCAGACGTACATTTTGAATTACTTGACACCAACGAAGGATACCTACCAGATATACGTCAAAGCTTCCAGAAACAAGACGACGTAGTAAAGAAGAACTTGAAAGAGAAGCCGGATACCTGGAAGATGAAGGATAGGATCGTCTGGATCAAGAGAGAGTCCGCGACGAGTTCCTACCCGATCCCATTAGCTGACCGAGTATACGTTCCCCGAAATCACGAACTAAGGGCGCGAATATTGAAAGATCATCACGACGAAGCCCTGGCTGGACACCCAGGAGAAAGAACAATGTTTGAACGAGTGAACCGAGAGCTCTGGTGGCCAAGTCTTCGTACTGATATCAGACGGTATGTACGAGGGTGCGAGAGTTGTCAACGCACCAAGGCACATCGGACAAAGCCTAACGCCCCTCTACACCCGAACCCGATACCAGATCGACCTTGGCAGATTATCACCACCGATCTCATAGGCGCATTACCGGAATCCAAGGGCTACACCGCCGTTCAGGTCTTTGTTGACCGATTTAGTAAAATGGCCCATTTCGTCCCCACCTTCGTCACTCTCGACTCGGCCGGTTATGCACGTCAACTCCGAGATAATGTAATACGACTCCACGGAATTCCTGAAAAGATCGTCTCCGATCGAGGTCCTCAATTCATGTCTCGATTCACAAAAGACTTTTACGACCTAATGGGGATAACACCAGGCCTCTCTACAGGCTATCACCCTCAAACAGATGGACAGTCCGAACGGATCAACCAGGATCTAGAGCACTACCTCCGCGTTTTTATAAATCATCGACAAGATGACTGGGCAGACTGGCTCTCCATTGCTGAGTTTACTTACAACAACCACCTCCATACCGCAACGAATCAAACGCCCTTCTTTTTGAACTATGGGTTACACCCAAGAACGAATATCACCACCACGTCGTCCCCTCGATCCGCTTCTGCAGTAGAATTTAGCGAACAAATGAAAAAACTCCATGATATCACGAAATCCTCCCTTCTTGTAGCAAACGAGAATCTGAAGAAGTATTACGACCGGAAGAAGTCCCCCTCCCGAGAGTATCAAGCTGGCGACAAAGTCTGGTTAGAAGGGCATAACATCACAACGGATAGACCAATGAAGAAATTAGACGATAAACGCTTCGGACCTTTCAAAGTCACCCAAAAGGTCGGACCCTCCGCCTATCAACTCGATGTCCCTAAAAGTTGGAAGTCCATTCATCCCGTATTCAACGAAGCCATCCTCTCCCCATACCACGCTCCCGAATTCATCAATCAACCAATTTCCTCGCGACCACCACCCGAGATCGTGGAAGGAATAGACGAATACGAAGTAGAGAGTATAATCGCTTCCAGACCGACCAAACTGAAAGGTAGTAAACTCGACTACCTCATTCACTGGCATGGTTATCCAGTCTCCGAACGAACTTGGGAACCCGACACCAATCTTACGCATGTCGCTGATTTACTCGCCGCCTTCCATAAAACAAATCCAGCCGCCCCTCGGATTATTACCGCTTCTCTCCACTTCCGTCCTTACGAAAACTACACCGCCACTTCCAAACCTCCAATGCTTTTTGATTGGATTAGTAACAAGTTCCAAAGTGCCGCATCCGGACTCATGAGGACACGAGTCTTATAAAAGGGGAGCTAATGTGAGGAATCGATTTTTCTTATCGCATTCCCATCATGTCGTGGTTAGCAGACTCGATCCCCGTCACTCCTCTTGCCCTTGGACTAGAGATTACAGCAGGTGTCTTATTACTTTTATCATTTTTCTTCTTATTCTCTCTTCACACTCACGTTCTATCGTATCTACAACGAGGTAGACTTGTTGTCGACCCTTGAGAAGATATCCAGATGACATAGTCACGATCCAGTGCTATGTCTGGGAATACTTCGGAGGAATATTGATAAGCGAAGAAGGTTGTAAGTCAGCGCCTTCTCATGGGCTTACTGATACAGCCAATCGTACATCCCTTACCAATACGTTTTCTCATACGATTAGTAAAGACGATAGATCGGACCACTTTCCTCCTTTTTCCTTATTGGTTAACTAGCTGGTCAGACCACTTTCTTAGTACTTCCCTTTCTCGGTCTGACCATCGTCGTTCACTATATAGAGAAGTACATACTCGATGTATTGTTCTCCAGTTCAATATTAGTTTGGATTTGCGCTCTTACCGATACTCTTCATTCTCATACTCTGATTCACCGCCTTCAAGGAAGGACTTGACCAGACATTGGGCTTTGTTATATAGCTTCGTATTTGTTGCCTGACACAACCCATCTTGCCTGAGATTTTAACACAGCGCCATTCGCCATCTTTCCTCTCATTCCTGATTCTTTCAATTCCCCCATATTTCCTTTTATTTTTGCCCATACTGCTGTATCTATCGCGTTCATCATTGCTCCATCGTCTACTATGGCTAATAGGTTTTTGTGCTTGTTCTGTATTGATTTCAATGTAATCATATGTTTGAAGAGACAACAAGTTTCTTTAGATTGAGTATATCGGTAGGATACTGTTAACGTCATACGGGAAAAAATGAGAATCAATAGCAGTTTCTGTTACGATAACACAATTTTCGGACCTTCCCTTTACTTTTATTCTCCGCTTTAACCTTAGCTTTCACACAGGGTGCCACGCGGCACTTCCCCTTTTATCCAAACTCCTCTTTCTCGTGCCGCGTTGCCTTTCTTCTTATTATAGACACAACTCTCTCACACAGTGGAACTGGCCATGCGGGCTAGGCCCCATGACATCATCAGCCACTGTCACTATCAACTGTATAGTACATATGTACAAATAACCCTGTAGTAGTATATATACCCCAAATAGATCCAGGAGACTCCTCAGCGAGTCCTCCTGTTGTTAACCAACAAACTCTCTGCAGCTCAAGGGGTAACCACTCCCTCATCATCTTCCTTATAGTGTGTTTTATGTGCGCCAGAGTAACTAACTCTTGGTTGTTACATTAGGACTCGCTCTTTCTACTCTCTTGCACATTTGTGCAAAAAGTCCCACTGGGCACCCGGACTCCAGGGTGAAGGAGATTTGGTTATTGGTTGGGAATATCCCGCATAGCAGATAGGTGCGCTCTTCGCAACGGCCTTGTAGTGCTTTGGGAGAAGAACCAAAACCGTTGATACGCGGCCCCCAGTGTTAAGGGGAGTAGTTAGCTCAGCAGTCGGTGTGGAACCACTGTTGATTAGAATTAAAATACACAACTTCAATTTCTCTTTCCTCTGACCAGGCTGGGCACTTGCCTCCGCCAGTTGGAGAAGGGTTGACAGCTTTACAAGCGGACCACCCCCTGACAACCGTTCGGACCAGGGTTTATTACAAATACCTTTTACATACATTTTCAAATACTATAGTGTGGGTAGTCGGAGATTGAGATCCGATACTCAGCTGGGAAGAGGTTGATCCGCAGATAGCAAGCGGGGACCCCCAGTTATTTTTTTTTTTACTTCACAAAGAAAACAAGTCAACATGTCATTGCAACAAGATATGAATGCTCTGCTGCACACTATGCATACGCAGAATGCAATGTTAACTTTGCAACTCGCCGAGCTGCAGAACAACCCCCCTGCGGCAACCCCCTCGGTTGAGAAGAAGTTCAACAAGAAAGTAGAAGTCGTCGCTGACCCTGGCGCCTTCGAAGGAGACAGAGTGTGATTCGCCGAATGGTGGATCAAGCTCCAGATTTGGGTCAAGGCAAATTGGGACGCATTTGCCGACGACTTTGAGGTAGCCACTGCAGTGCGATCTCGACTAAAAGGATCTGTGGCGGGTCGATACGCCCAAGTTAGACTGCAGGAATGCTACACCGCGGGAGTGTGGCCAACCTGGGAAGATCTCAAGAAGGAGATCGGAAAATACTTCAAAGTGCAGGCTGAGCGTGACTGGGCGCGTCAGCAAATCCGTTCCTTCAAACAAAGAAACATGAGGATGGATGACTATGTTACCCGGTTCGTGGCCCTCTCCATCCAAGGAGGGCTTGGTAATGAACATGCAGTAGAACTGCTGGAGCGCAATGTGAACTCTCGCATTGCAGAACAGATCTACTTGCAGGATACAAGAAATGAGAACTTGTGTAACAACCAAGAGTTAGTTACTCTGGCGCACACAGGAACACACTATAAAGGTAGTGGAAGATGGGGAGTGGGTACCCCTTGGGCTGCAGTGAGTTAGTTGGTATACAACAGGAGGACTCGCTGAGGAGTCTCCTGGATCTATTGGGGTATATATACTACTACAGGTTTGTTTGTACATGTGTATTTATACAGTTGATGAAGGCAGTGGCTGATGATGTCATAGGGCCTAGCCCGTATGGCCAGCTCCACTGCGTGAGAGAGTTAAGTCTAAAAGTAAAAGAAAGGCAACGCGGCGCGAGAAAGGGAAATGCCGCGTGGCACTTAAAGTATAAAGTTAAAGCGGAGAATAAAAAGGAAAGGAGATGTCCGGAAATTGTGTTATCGTAACACTACCCCCCTTCTAAGGCTTGACTTCCAGGCGAGACCAAATTCCGGAGGTAGTGGTAAAATTTTCGGGCATAGGTTGAAAGAGGGAATTAAAAAGGTTTGAATCCATGCCTCTAAGCTTCCTGGGAGCTGAGGGATTCCTAGAATAAAATTCGCGAACAGCGTCGCGGGAGTTTTCCAGATGGGATTCTGGTTCCCACGTTCTGTCCTCGTCTCCGTAGCCCTTCCATAGGACCAGGAACTCTAATTTTCCACGCTTCAAGCGTGCATCTACCACCCGTTCGACTTCGAACTCTTCTTCACCTTCCTGGGTGACTACTACCGGACCGGGCCAGTCTACGCGCTGTCCCGGCAGCGGTCCCTTGTAGGGTTTCACACGGCTAATGTTAACCGTGGGTACCACCCTCATTCGTTTTGGGAGTTCCAGCTCCACCGCATTAGGTTTGACTTCCTTAATCCGGTAAGGGCCAATCCACTTTTCGGTCAGTTTTCTAGACTGCCGGTCTTTTAATTTCAAGTGGTCGGTGTCTAACCAGACCAGGTCGCCGACCTTGTAATCAGGGGCCTTAGAGCGTCTACGCTCTGCCCTGTCTTTCATCTGCTCCGCAGTTTTAAATAGTGCTTTGCGCGTTTCGTCCAAGACAGACTTCATGTCTTTTGCCATGTTCCCAGCAGCCTCGTTTTTGCTTTTGCCAGGTTCTACACCCATTCTGGGGAGGTACAATCTAGTGACCTCGAATGGTGCCTTTCCCGTAGCCGACGACTGTTTAATATTATAAGAGAACTGGGCTATCTTTAGCCACTTGGCCCAATCTGTCTGTCTGTCGTTAATAAATATCCGGAGATACTGTTTCAACTCCTGGTTGAGTCTCTCTGTTTGTCCATCAGTTTGTGGATGGAACACCGTTGATAACTTAGGTTTGATGCCCAGCATCCGGCATAATTCTTTTGTAAATTTGCTAGCAAATTGTGGTCCTCTATCGGAGATTACCGTTTCTGGTAACCCATGGATTGACCATACGAAATCCTTAAATAGGTCTGCCGTACCGGCGGCGGTGATGGTTTTGTTGGTGGGTATGAATACCACTTCTTTGGAGAAGCGGTCTACTACCACCATTACTGAATCGTACCCGTTTGACTCGGGCAGATCCGTCGTGAAGTCCACCGATATATCCTGCCAGGGGCCAGCTGGTATTGGGTTCGGCATTAGTTTACCCGCCGGCAGTTGATGGGAATTCTTGGCCATGGCACATCTCAGACAGGATTTTACGTATTCCTGTATGTCTTTGACCATGCCCGGCCACATGTAGTTTCTGGAGATCAACTCCATTGTTCGTTGCCATCCAGGGTGCCCAGCCACTGGAGTGTCATGATGTCTATCTATTGCCTTGATCCTTGCGGACTCAGGCACATAGATTTTGTTTTTGAAATGAAAGAGCTCGTCTTTCCATAAATAGTTTTCATTGCCGTCAAGGCGCGCCTTTTCCTCTGGGGAGATGTCTTTTCTAAAGACTTCTAGGAGGTCGGAATCTTGCCCGATTCTAACATTGGCGACCCTTGATTGATCTATCAGGGTGACACCTTTGTTGTCATCTTCAATGCCGTTGGCATGATCCTCTCTTCGAGATAAAGCATCCGCTCCCCATTGAGCTTCCTGGCTTATGAATTAATTTATAATTGAACCTTGACAAGTACACCGCGTAGCGGGCCTGTCTCCGGTTCAGGTCTCGGGCCGTCATGAAGTACTCCAGGTTCTTATGATCGGTCCAAATTTCGAATTGGTGCCTAGCACCTTCTAAGTAGTGCCGCCAGTGCTCTAAAGCTCTAATGATGGCCAGCATCTCTTTGTCGTATATTTGATAGTTGCGCTCTGTAGGCGACAAACTATGCGATAAATAGGCACAAGGCCTCCAAAGATCATCAGGGCATTTGATTGATAGAACAGCCCCAGTGGCGAAGTCAGAAGAGTCGGTTTCTAGCCGGAACTCTTTGTCTAATTCAGGGAATGCCAATATGGGTGCTGTTGTAAATGCCTGTTTAAGCTTATCAAAAGCTTCCTGTTCTTTGGCGCCCCACTGCCAAACAAGGTCCTTTTTGGTGAGATCGTTCAACGGTCTCGTGATTTTTGCAAAGTTTTCAATAAACCTTCGGTAGAAATTGCCTAAGCCTAGGAAAGCCCTAACCCCTTTGACGCGAGTAGGTTCTGGCCATTCCAAAATAGCTTGAACTTTCTCAGGGTTCATCCTTATTCCGTTCTGGCCTATGATCATACCGAGGAAGTCTACTTCCTTCACTTTAAAATTACATTTTTCGGGTTTGACGAATAGGTCCCGTTCCTGTAAGCGTCGAAGGACTTCTTGCATGATCTTGTCATGCTCAGCCTCATCGTCCGACTTTGTAAATATTAATAAATCGTCAATGTAAATGACGACACAGTTTTCCATATCCGCAAAGATCTCATTCATCATGCTCTGAAAGGTCGCCGGTGAATTGGTCAACCCAAAGAACATAACAAGGGGTTCGAAAGATCCTCGGTGGCACGTGAACGCGGCCTTCCAAGCATCTTCCTCTTTGATTCGTACGTTATTGTACCCCCATCTGAGATCCATTTTAGTCAGAATCTTGGCGCCAGCCAATTTGTCTACTAGCTGACTAATTAAAGGCAACGGATACGCGTTTTTAACTGTGTGCTCATTCACGTAACGATAGTCCATAATCATGCGCTTCTTACCATCCTTTTTAGGAATGAAGAAAACCGGGGACGTCATAGGACTTTTGGAAGGTCTGATGTAACCCTTCCTAAGTTGTTCGTCTATGAAACTAGATACCTCGTCTCTTTCGGGAGCACAGAGCGGTATCATGTGTCCCTTCCTTGGTTTGAAGGTGTCTTTCAAATCTATAGCATGATCCCAAGGCTTAGCCTCTGGGAAGCGCTCTGATTTGTGTTTCGAAAAGACTTTCCAGAAGTCGTGGTACTCGGGAGGTACCAGCCTCTTAATCTCTTCCTCAGGTTTTACCTCATCATCGTCATCGTCGATCTTTTCTAGAGATCTGAGCTTGTAAACGTGACTAGCGTTTAACTTTTCGAGACGCTCATTGTGACGGACATGATTTGGTTTACCCAAGTTTACACATTCCTGGGGACAACGTGACAATGTGACAACCCCTGTCTGCCAGTTGATCTCAGGATTGTGTTTAAATAGCCAGGTCCAGCCTAAGATTAAATTAATCTTCCCTAGTTGGGTAGCCTCGGCAGTGACTCGTTCTCTGTGTCCTTGGTATTCGACCACAAAAGAACATTTGTGTGTAATACAGCCACCTGCGTTAAGTGTACCGTCAACGTTATAGACGGGAATAGATGTTTCTAATTTTACAAGGGGGAGTCCAATTTGCTCCGCCCAGACCTGATCTATGAAGATCCCGTTAGCGCCTGAATCAAGCAGTGCGCTTGTTGAGTGTACTTTGCCCCTGGCAAGGTTTTCCACGCCAACGTCTAAACGGATCTCTTTTTGGAATAAATATGTGCGCATCAACACACGCCTTGGGATTTCGGGAAAGGGTGGCTCCGAAGAAGAAGAAGAAGAAGAAGAAGGAATTTTGAATGACACATGTTTTTCTATTTTTGTTTTACCAGAATCAAGCACCCTAGTGTTTGTCTCGCCGGGGCCACACTCCAAGGGAGACACTGGTGCAGCGGTAGTATCATAAATATTACAGTTACATTTCTTTATACAAGTACATACTTCTGATAACAAATTTAAAAATTTATTTACAAATTGGGGAGCCATCCCCGTCATTCCGTTATTGCTCGTGCAACACCCCGGAGCAGGGGCCACTTTGTTGTGGTTTACTTCATTTTTACCAGGAGCTAAGGTACCCAAGTGACCTAAGCCCCGAATTCTTTTCCCTGAGCCTTCATTTCGTTGACCTGTTGGTCATAGAAGAAGGCCCGGATTTCGTCGTAAGAACGACCGGCCAAAGAGTTGAGCCAATCGTCCGGCTTTGCAATTTCTAATTGGCGCGCCTGGCGCCTTTGATTATTTTGTTGGGCAGCCTGCGCCCCGTTTCTACAGTCTCGGGACATGTGTCCCTCTTGGCCGCAGTTGTAACAGTTGCCCTTGAATCTGCGCATTTGTCCGCCTTGGACCGCGCCGATATCCATAGGAGCACCCTGTCCTGGCTGCAGCCCGAACGGCTTGAACCCGTGAGAGTGATTATGATGTTGGTTTGATGACCCAGGGCGCCTCTGGGGTGTGGTGGTTTGTTTGGTGGACCCGCCACCTTGGTGCATAGCGTAGAGCTCCATGGCCCTACCGACTCGTCGGACTTCCTCGGCTGCTAGAGCCAGGTCGTCACTTCTTGTATCCTGCAGGTAGATCTGCTCTGCAATGCGAGGGTTCACATTGCGTTCCAGCAGTTCTACTGCGTGTTCGTTACCTAACCCTCCTTGGATGGAGAGGGCCAGGAACCGGGTGACATAATCATCCGTCCTCATGTTTCCTTGTTTGAAGGAACGGATTTGCTGACGCGCCCAGTCTCGCTCAGCTTGCGGTTTGAAATATTTTTCGATCTCTTTCTTGAGATCGTCCCAGGTAGGCCACACACCCGCGGTGTAGCATTCCTGGAGTCTTACTTGGGCGTATCGACCCGCCACAGGTCCTTTTTAGGCGAGATAGCACCACAGTGGCTACCTCAAAATCGTCGGCGAAA